GTGCAACACAAAGGACTTCACTGACCATCCAGTATCACTCACCTTTATGCAACAGTGTTAAAAATTCCTCCATTAGAGATCCGTTTGGGTTAGGTTTGCATGGTGGAAAGCACATAAGCAGTAGAGTGAGAATCATTCAGATTTGGGTTGCAACCCTGAACTAGCAAGTGATTTTAGGGAATTTATTTGACACCTACAAGGGGACATATCACTTTATGTAAAAATGTTTGTTATAAGGACTAAGGGAACAATCAATCTATGCGAAAACATTTCAAGAGATGCCTGTTGCACCATGGGATATCAGTGTGTATTCCCCACTTCTCTCCAAGATGTGGTCAGTGCTCTACAGGTATTTTAAACTCGAGACATTCTGAATGGAAGGTTGTACTGAAATTCAGGTACCTTACTCTTGGTCAGAAGTAGGATTGGTAAGTGCTTTTCTTTAGGATGGGTGAGGCTGGAGAAATATTTAATTGCAGCTGGTGGCCATCTTACTGAGAGTATGGAGGGACAGTGGAAGAAGAAACTTTGGACATCAGAAAGTCAAACTTGTCTAGGTTGGAGGATTTCAGGAAAAGCTATGGATCCCAGAAAAGAGCTATTTCTCTAGTTTTCATTTGAAACAAAATGGTCTTACAAAATCCTGCAGTGTTAGTTTTAACTACATTGCCATACAATTATAGAAAATAAAATAAAATTATAAATTTTATCAGGCTTGAGTTTTTTGGTAAAAAAGTTGTTCTAAATCATCTTTACGGTCAGATTAAACTTAACTGAAAAAGTAAGTGATCTCATTTATGTGACTGGTTTAAATAAGTGTTCAAAACAAAAGGTCGGCTACTCTCTTGGCTTTAAGATGACAAGTCAACAAATTCAATAATTTTGATGTTCTCTAAGTGACCCTGGTGGTGCAGAGGTTAAATGTTTGGTTGGAACTGAAAATTTGGTGGTTAAAACCTACTAGTTAATCTGCAGATAGAGCTAAGAAAATCCAAGACTAAAGCTAACAGGTCGAAGACTTCAATATGGTTTATATCTCAACATCAAGATGAAATAAATCCTTATCACTGGGCTTATAGGCATCATCATAATAAGTGGAGGGAAAAAAAATTGAAGTTGTCAATGATTTCATCTTACTTGGATCCATAAACAGCACCCTCAGTACCAGCAGTCAAGAAATCCAAAGATGTGTTATGTTATACTAGAAGAATCTGTTGTCAAGGGCCTTCAAAAAATACAATAATATCAGTGTAAAAACTACAGGGTGTCTGATTCAGGCCATGATCTTTTCAGGCACTTGCTTTGTTTCAGAGCTAGACAATGAATAAGAATGACAGAAGAAGAATAAAAAACTTTGAGTTGTAGTGTTGAAGAAGAGCACCAAATATCCCAGTTGTCTGCCAAAAGAATATATCTGCCAAGACATATATCTATTTTTTTTAATGGTAGGAGATTCTTATTCTCTCTCTGTTTTTTTTTTTCCATTCACTGTTGTGCATTCCCCCCCTCTCCTTTTTCCTTTCCCCAGTCTACTTTGCCACACACCTCTTTTTCCAAATTATTGTCTTACATACAGTGCCTAATCATACAATCTTTTGGGACAGTTTCTCCCTCATCTGTTGCTATACAGTGTTGGCTTTCTATCTACTCTTTTCCCCTTCTCCCCTGAGCCCCCCATGGCAGTCCTATTTTATAACAGTGGTGTTACACAGTATTTGTCCTTTTGTGACAGAGATATTTCACTCAGCATAATGCCTTCCAGGTTCACCTATATCACGTATGTCTAGGAGAAAGTGCAGCCAGAGTGTTCCTTGGAAGCAAAGATGGTGAAGCTTTGTCTATATACTCTGGTCGTTTTTCTAGGAAAGGCCATTCCTTGGAGTGAGATATGTTGCTTAGAAATGTAGAGAGACAGCAAATGAATAGAAGACCATCAACAAGATGGATAGACACAGTGACTGCAAAAATGGGCTCAGGTAAGTCAGAGTTGATGAGGATGGCACAGGATAGGGCATAGTTCAACTCTGTTGCTCATAGAGTCAATATGAGTCACACTCACTGGTGCCTTCCAACAATTGCCTATCTGTAAGAGAAGAAATGGCAGCCAGTTTCTATAAGATTTACTGTCTTGAAAACTCTACGGGTCCATTCTATTCTGTTCTATAAGATTGCTATGAGTAAAAATCATTGGAATAGCCAGAAGTTTGATCTTGTGTCAATAAGCAGCCTAACTCATTGCCATTGAGTTGGAAACAACTTACATGTGTGACCCTCCAGTGGATTTTCAGGGGCTCATGTAGTAGGAGATTGTATAGGAGGTGATTTCCCGTCACTCTCCCATGAAGCAGCTGGTGGATTTGAATATCCTGTCTTGGGTTTGCCTTCTCAATTCCTTATCTACTGGACCACTAGAGCTCTCTTTTTTAAAAAAAAAAAATTACATTTTATTTTATGTGTGTGTACTGTCAAACTGGATCTGACTGGTTCAGGAGGAGATTGCCCCTCCTTCTCCAGCAGAGCCTCTGGTGGATTTGAACCTCTCACCCCTGGGGCTGCAGTACAGCTTCTTGCCACTAGGCCACCAGAGCTCCCTAGAGCTCTCTTGATACTATGCAATTAATGCATATTTGTGCAAATTTACTTTCAAATTGCTGAGAGTTAGTAATACTATTTTGTTTATCAGGATTTCTAAGCCCAAGGCTCTGATGGCTTGGTGGTAAGGAGTTGCACTACCAGCCCAAAGGCATGCAGCTGAAACCCGCCAGCTGCTCTAGGGGAATAAAATGGACAATTTCCTCCTGTGCAGTTTCCTATCTCTGAAAACCTGCTAGAAGGTGAGCTGAGTCAGTTTCAACATGGTGGTACACAACAACAACATATACTATCTGTTTAGGGATTTGCTTTAGGTTTGAGTAAAGCATTCAGTACACAGAAAAAGAATTAATTTATCTCAAATGAATTTAAGTAGGTTTTCATGAATACGTTAACTTCCAACTCTAGAGCCTTTACATTAACAATCGATCTTGGGAACCAAACATTAAAAGATTCTCTTTTACTCTGGTGGTATCTATATCTACTGTAGTAATAAGCGTTTAGCTGTCAGGAGAGCAAAAGTCTAGAAATGATTAGTGAGTGCACCTGGTCTGTATTTCTTATAATTGTGGAAGGTGTGCTTACAGTTTGACCATCACCTTGTTGGACAGACAGCATGGTTACGTGATAGAAAGCCCAAGACCAGCCGTTTGGTCTCAGTTGGATAAGGACTGGATGCTAAACTTGTTTAGTAGAAAGATTGGAACTCAACAGGCCCTCTCTGTCCCACAGTGGAAGAAAAGGTTGCATTCATGAGAGGAACAAGAAAACTAGGTTTCTACTTTATTGCCAGCGAGGGAAATGGCATCAAAGTTCTCCAATGACATCATAGATAACTCCTTTTCTAATCATCTTACTGAGTTTATACTCCTCTCTCTTCATGCTTCAAGATACAATTTGAATAGGATTATTTGATACCTTGATTTTAGAAGCAATAAAATGCCAAGAAGATTCTCTTTTGGCCTTAGGTGGTTAACTCCTAGGTTTTACATCTCATCATAGCATTTCATTTAAGGTATTTAATTCAAGACTGACTCAGTTAAAAGTATCAATTACCCTGGGGTATTTTCTAAAGCCCTTTTTGGATCTTTAATTCCAATGTTGGTCAGGAATGAATTTATTTATCTAGGAATGTTAACTCTAGCAGCTTAGTATTAAGTGACAGACATCAGAAGAAGTTTACTTTGAGACTATCAGCTGTTTATTATAATCAAGAAGGCACTAAGAAGGTAATGAGAGAAACTTCAGGAAATACCTTAAGAAAGGTTTTTACTTTTTGGATTCTTTCTTTGTCAAATGCAGACCTAGTAAGTGACACTGTTTAACACAGCTCAGTTCCTAGCATTCTAAAGTCCTTTTTTTTTTTAACCCCAGGGCAAACTCTAAATGTCCTTCCTTTCATTGAGAGCTTCCAGATTTTCTTTTCTAGATATTTTTTTTTTTATGGGCCTAAGTATCATATCTTTCATTTTCTTTATTTCTACTCGTACTGAAACATTAGGACAATAGCTAGGGGTTAATGATTGTCAATAATTTACACGTAGCATTTTCTCAGGGTAGAGTTTTCTTTTAGTAGAGAACTAAACCTTAAGTTAAAGGAATGAATTTCTAATTATATCATTTCAGGTCCTCATAAATTAACTGGGAACTAAGATTTGGTGGTTGGGTGAACTGGCTATCCCTAAAAAGACTCTAGATCTGCATGTGAAGTCAGTGTTAAATTATAACAAAGCATTCACAACATTTATGTGGGGTTCAAACAATTGTAGTAAAGTTTCATGAGGCTATTCCATGTAAAAGGATATTGTGCTTGGAAGAGTAGAGTGTCAACGAATGAAAGGAAGACTCCCAATGAGATGGTTTGGCATGGTTGTTGTAGCAAGGGGCTCAAGTGTAACAGAGTTGGTGTGGATGGCACAGGATTGGCCAGGATTCAGATCTGTTGTTCATAGGGTCACTATGAGTCATTTTCAATTTGATGGAACCTAACAACAATAGCAACAGGTATCACTGATGCATTGATTGCTGCCAGTCTATTGGAACTAAAAAACTAGTCTTCAGTGCATTTCCAAGGCAATACCCTGGTCAGCAGGAGGCTGACCATCTTTATCACACTGAGCAGCTGGTGGATTTGAACCATCAGAGAAGCATTGCCTTTGAGTTAATAGTGCAAGTCTCTATGGACTATGCTCTCAGAGGGTTTATAGGCATAGTGATTATAAAGCTCTGATCAAATTAATGCTCTGTAAAACAAGACCATTTAATCTCATTTCTCTTCTTTTTTTTTTTTTTTTTTACCATTTTATAGCACAAGCTTTATAGAGAACAGAATAACATGTTTTGCCATACTGTACTCAGTTTGGTAGAGCCCTGGCTTAGACTGCTCCTTTTAAATATCAGTTGAGGTTTCACACTTTGCCATGTAGCACGTTCTCCACTGCTCTGGTTACTTGATCAGCACTGAAGTTGTTCAAAGAGACATTCTTCTCTTGGCCAAATGCATAGCGGGCCCAGAGCTTAGGTTGTACATCGGAGCACTCGCGGATTAGGATGGGTAGGTCAGGATTCGCCTTTTTCAGCTCCACGTACTTTTTCTCTATGAAGTCCCTGACGCCCTGGCTGCCGACTGAGCGTTGACATAAGTGGATGCGGATCTCCCGCAAGGCTAGTTTTACCTGGCTCATTTCTCTTCTAAAGAATTTAAATGTTTGGGAAATTTTCATCTAAAAATCAGCCCATAATAAAAGGAAGTAAATTGCAAAATTGTATAATTAGACTATTCCCAAGAAACAAACAAAAATCAACTGTCAGATGATTTTTTTTAAACTAGAAATTTGAAAATATGAGTATCACGTTTAGGTGTTTCCCGGATTATTTAAAAATATGTCTTTGTGGTGGATTGATGTTATAAATGAGTTGTGTTCAAGGCGAGGTGCCAATTTTTCTAGAAATTCACAAGTGATAGTTGAATCCATATATTTACTAAAAGGAAGCTGTCTGTCTGGTTGAATAGGTATAACCCAGGCCAATTAATTGTTCAGGGTCTGTCAGGATGCATTTGCCAAAGAAAACAGACAGTTTTGGAAGTCTTTCTTGCAAATGTTTCTTTTATTTGATTGCATTGTATTTGTGAATGGACACTTACAGTGGGAGCATGAAAAAAAAAACATGAAAAGAAAAAAGAGATTTTAAGATTCGTATTGTTCCTAAGTTCAGCATTTTCTTGATGGATTTTTTTTAAAGCTAATACTATATTTAATCAGTGTATAAGGATGACCTTGGATTTTATCTAACAAACCTACTGAATACTTATTATGCATGGACTGTCAGAGGAATGAACAAATTGGTCTTAGAACAAATATAACCAGAGTGCTCCTTAAAAAGGATGATGGCAAGACCTTAGTTTGTTTACTTTGGACATTTCATCAGGAAAGGTCTATCAATAGAAAAGGCTGTGATGGTTGATGAAATAAAGGGTCAGTAAAAATAAGAAAACCTAACAGCCCGGGCTGGTCCTCAAGGAGTTGTGAGGGTAACAAAAAGCAAACAAACGAACGTGATGCCTCTTCAGTTATTTTAATCTGCCAGGAACTCTTCAGGAAAAAGAAGGGCAATCTCCTCCCATTTAATACACAACCTTGGAAACCCAGTAGAGGGTCAGGTATGCATTGGTTATAGCTCAGTGGCAATGAAATTGACTTTAATGTGTTGAATTGACAAAAACACCCCCCACAACTACAATGGAGTCAAACGTAACAACAATCACAAAAATGGTCTAGAACTAGAAAGCATTCCATTCTGTTACCCATAACATCACCACAAGTTACAGCCAACACAACTGCAAGTGGCAATGACAATAACATGGAAGATTAGCAAATGAAGAGGGTATAGGGACAACTTTAGAGAAGCTGGGCTGTAAAGGAGAGGAGAAAGATTGGCAGAAAGAGTTAAATTTAAGTATAGTTTTTCTTTTTTTTTTTTTTTAGAAGTGGAAGATACTTCAGTACATTTAAATTTGGCATGTAACAATGTTCATTAAATAGTGGTGAGTGAATGGATGAATGGATTAATGAACTGAGCCATGAGAGAGAAAGAAAACTTAGACGGGAGGGTTAGAAGCTAAGGCAGGTTTTCTGGAACAAAGAGGATGTAGTTATATATAGATTTGATAAGATATTAATAATTTTGTCCATCAAAATTGCTATTATTCCTTTTTAGTGCCTCTGACATTTTCAGTGCTCTGCATAGATTTATTATAAACCAGATAAATATATTTATAACAGGAAAAAAATCCATAAAATAAAATAATTTTAATTTCTTTCTGTGTAACTATAACTCAGAATTATACCTAGAAACAATTTTACTATCTGTAGCTGACATTTGCCCCAGCATTTAGTTTACAGAGAAATCTTTCCATATATTATTTTACTTAATCCACATAACAAATATGGAGAACGTGTGTGTAGATTCCTTAGTTTGGAGTCCTCTCCAGCAGAACTTGGAACAAGAATTTGAATGCAGGTAGTTTATTGGGTGTTGACCCCAAGAAACAGAAGTTAGGAGAAGAGTGAATCTTTAGCTCTCCAAAAAGGCTATCTAGAAATCATAGAAGATAATTGTCATCAAATATGTCAAATCAAATATCTCTCTACTATAGTCTGGCCTCACTGTTTAAAGATATAAGGGAAAGTAGAGACCAAAAATAATTTAACGATCATGACAAGCTACTGAGCTAACAGTCACATGTTAAAAGAAGAAAAGGAGTATAAACCCACTTTAGAATTGACCACTAAAATCTAGGAGACTTGGCATTTACATGTGGAGTCTTGTTCCCCTTTGGCCAAGAGATGCTGAAGAATGGGTCAGGATACAAATTTTCTTGTGTTTTCAGGGTATGTCAGTAGTAGCTTCAAGGCTGTCAGAGAAAGTCATGAGGCACGCACACAAGAGGAGACATTGTTAAGTGCACATGAAACTGTTCACCACAGCTTTGCTAGAGTCAAGGATACCCAGGCAATGTGGCATTGGATGTGACAGCCATCTGCAAGAAGAGCAGACACTGTCATTCTCAGTTTCAAGATGAGGAGATTGATGGTTAGAAGGATAGTGACTTTGTCACGACCACGTAAGAAGGCAGGGTTCAAATTCAGATTTATCTTCTTCTGAATTCTATGTTGTCTTAAAGCTACCAGAAAGAATGCAGACAGGTCAATATACGTTACTACATGTAATGGGCTTGTCAGCTACACTGACAGTCCCCTGGAAACAGCATAAATCCTATGGTGGGATTGAAATATCAGGCCAAAGCAGATCTTACAGCAGGTAGAATCTGAAAACAGCTATTTCTTTTTTTTTTATTTATTTTTGATCCAGAAGCTACAGGCATTTTGGTAAAAAAATAAAAAAACATTGTAAGTATGAAAATAGTTTTCCTTATTCTTCTTTCAGTTTAATTGTCTTTGAAATGCCTAGACAATGTTGATTGTCTCACTCTGCCCAAGACTGGGGAAAAGAAAGAACTCTTTCCCTGAGACCCCATGTCTGTCCCAAGAGCCTATTGCCAAAGGCATCACTTCATTGACCAGCTTCGTTACTGAGGTCTCAGAAAAAGTCTGACTTTCCAGAGATATCCTGCCTGATTCCCAGTGTGAAGGGCTTTAAAGCTCCATAACAAACCACTGAACTTCTCTCTGCAGAGGACTCCTTTTGCATACTAACAATCCTTTGGGGTTTCTTGGGACTAGCTGTCCTGAGCATGTGCAGTGGTTGCAATTCCAAATGAAAGAACTAGTGCATTTGTGTTTTAATTATCTCTTCTTACAAGATCTACCCAGCAGTATTGCTCCACAGTACTTGAAAGAATTTAATTAAAAAAAAGATGAAGAAGAAGCAGCCGCCACCCTTGCTTTTTCTTGTTGTCGTTGTTGTTAGTTGCTGGAATAAAATCGGGCTGTGATTGTACCAGTGTGTGGTGTTTCACCCCCCACCCCCACCCCTTGTTCTTATGAAGAAAATGACTGTTAAGACTAAAGACACAAACACTTAGGAGAACAATACTTTTGTTAAAAATAATATATATGGAGGATGTCCCTCTGCAATGGAACAGAAGAAAACAAATTAAAGAGATGGACGCTTTTTTTTGCTTGTGACAGAAAAGACCACAACTCCTTAAATTATTGGAATAGCATTATCAAGCTTATGAGGAACTTTAGTCTATTTTCAGCTCTCCAGACAGATCCCATAGAAAGAACAGTAGTTGCAGTAGCACAAAATACCAGATATCTTTGAGACAATCTGTTCTCACTATTTAAAGGAACAAGGTAAAAGACAGACCAAGATTGTTTGTGTAGCCAAGATAAATGACTCCTTCAGCAGTAGCACAGAATCACTCAACAAATAAACAAGTCATATTCACTTTAAAGACAATACAGGTTTATTATAGAAAAATTAGAAAACAGACATTAGCAGTAAATGGAGGTTCCACAGATACTTTTATGATATCATTTAAATGTATGGATGACCTTGCTGACAGAATGTGTCTCTCATTGTTTCATCTTCTTCTTTTCTTTTTTTTTCCCCCTATGTTCATCAGATTCTGGACACAGGAAAAGTGAGTAGATGACAGTGAAACTACATTAAATGCAATTTAGTAGTTTTGACAAGATGTTAACTCTGGCAAGGGTGTGCAGAGATACTCTTGATATACCAGAAATAAACTTAAAATACTTTCCTTAGACACATTCTATATGCCTTACCCTATTCAAGACTTTGGGGTTTATTGTATTTTTTGTTTGTTTTTGTTTTTCTTCTTTTTTTATTTTTTAAAAATTTGGTGTTGGTTTGCATACAAAATTAATATACAATATGTTTCATTCATGTACATTGTGTTTCACACATTCCTTCTTTCACATTGTGTTTCATATGATCATCCCTGTACACTGTGTTTTATAAAGTTAATGACCATTGGTCTATGGTCACGTTACTGACCTTGATAAGAATACAAAATGGATAAGACATACTTGCCAGTCTTCAAAGCACTCACAGCCAGGTCAGCTAAACTGATAAAACATAGTACATTTTCAAAATACTGGTCTCTTTTTATATTATTACTATTATTCTTTTAAAATATGTGAGCATCCAGAGAGTTTGAGTGACATAAAATAGTAAAGCTTTGGGTTCATTGCAAATTATACATAGAAAAAGCTTCTAGTTTGTAAAAATTAAAATCAAAACCAAATATTGATCTCGGATAGTTCTTTAAGTTAATCATATATTTCCTATGAGCTCTTTTCTTTATCTCCTTACAGCAGATATTAACATACTAATATTCATATTGCTGTTTCAAAGCAATAGATTTTTCTTTTTCTTTTCCACAGAGGAAATGTTTTTATGAAGTGTTTATCATTAATCTTTAAAAATTGCTGAAGAAGCAACTGATTTGTCCATTCTTGTTTTATTCATTCACTTGACAAGTTGTTATGTGTCGTCGAGTTGCTTGTGATTCATAGCGACCCTATGGATAACAGCTCTAAACTCTGTTCTGTCCTGTGCCAGTCTCATTGTCTCTGACACACTCATTCCGATTATCCCAGTCACTGAATCAATCCACCTCCCAGAGGGCCTTCCCCTCCTGTGCCTGCCCTCCACCTTCCCAAGCATGATGTCCTTCTCCAAGGACTGGTCT